ATAGAGTATACAAGTAACATGAGGAGAACATACCCGTACAGGTTACACATACAGGTGAACTGGGGATAGAGTATACAAGTAACCTGAGGAGAACATGCACATACAGGTTACACATACAGGTAAACTGGAGATAGAGGATACAAGTAACCTGAGGAGAACATACACATACGGGTTACACATGAAGGTAAACTGGGGATAGAGTATACAAGTAACCGGAGGAGAACATACACATACAGGTAAACTGGGGATAGAGTATACAAGTTACCTAAGGAGAACATACACATATAGGTTACACATACAGGTAAACTGGGTATAGAGTATACAAGTAACCTGAGGAGAACATACACATTCAGGTTACACATACAGGTAAACTGGAGATAGAGGATACAAGTAACCTGAGGAGAACATACACATATAGGTTACACATACAGGTAAAATGGGGATAGAGTATACAAGTAACATGAGGAGAACATACACGTACAGGTTACACATACAGGTAAACTGGGGATATAGTATACAAGTAACCTGAGGAGAACATACACATACAGGTTACACATGAAGGTAAACTGGGGATAGAGTATACAAGTTACCTGAGGAGAACATACACATATAGGTTACACATACAGGTAAACTGGGTATAGAGTATACAAGTAACCTGAGGAGAACATACGCATACAGGTTACACATACAGGTAAACTGGGGATAGAGTATACAAGTTACCTGAGGAGAACATACACATACAGGTTACACATAAAGGTAAACTGGGGATAGAGTATACAAGTTACCTGAGGAGAACATACACATACAGGTTACACATACAGGTGACCTGAGGTGGAAATACTCGCACAGGTAACCAAGGAGGAATATTAAACAGGTATCACAAACACATAACACATACAGGTAACCTGAGGAGGAAATACTATGACAGGTGACCAAGGAGGAATATTGAACAGGTATCACAAACACGTAACATATACAGGTAACCTGGGGAGGAAATACTCTGACAGGTGACCAAGGAGGAAATACTCCGACAGGTAACCAAGGAGGAATACTGAACAGGTATCACAAACACGTAACACATACAGGTAACCAGAGGAGGAAATACTATGACAGGTGACCAAGGAGGAATATTGAACAGGTATCACAAACACATAACACATACAGGTAACCTGAGGAGGAAATACTATGACAGGTAACCTGAGGAGGAATATTGAACAGGTAACAGGCAACCTGAGAGGTTAGGGTTACCGTCGGGGAAACATACGTATCTCATATACAGGTAACCTTGTGGAAGGACCACACATATAGGTAACCTGAGAAGGAAATACACATACAGGTAACTTGAGGGGATACAGGTAACCCGAGGGGATACAGGTAACCCGAGGGGATACAGATAACCAGAGGGGATACAGGTAACCAGAGGGGATACAGGTAACCTGAGGGGATACAGGTAACCAGAGGGGATACAGGTAACCAGAGGGGATACAGGTAACCCGAGGGGATACAGGTAACCAGAGGAAGTATGCACATAAAGGTACCTTTTGGTAGGGTTTACTAACAGGTAATATCCCACTACTCTCCCTTCTTCACATCAGCTGTACCTGCCCCCATACCACTCTGTACCCACACTGTCCCTCCTCCCTTCAGCTCTCCCTTTAACACACACTGCTCCTAGCCCTTCCCCTGTATATTTCCTCCGCTAGTAGTATTATCTTTAATAACATTTAACAAGTGATCTGTCAAACAAGAAAAATGTAATTTGATATGAAAAGAAGATATCAAATTTTGGTTTGAACAAAACTATGTCAAACATCCAATGTGACAAAATGATAATAAAGTGTAACATCAGGGACTTGTTACATTAAATGTCTTTGAACTGCAATATTCTCGTCTCTGATTGCCTAATTGATAACTTGTACTAGAACAAAGGTATGGCTTATTGTGTTGTTACCTGTCCAAATAGTGTTTTAATTATCAGTAGATCATTAGTAATCAATTATAATTAATTAGCCCTGATGGCTAAGTGTTTAGTCAAGGCATACTGACCTCATTTAACCTTGTAATGAAAAGCATTGTCAAGTGGCACAAGATCATTATAATTGTGTAGGTTTAAATCCCAGTAGTAAAGTGCTAGTCTGTCAATCATGCTGTGTGAATGTGTCAAAACATATTTATAACCATTTAGCTGTACAGGCAGCACATAGTTATCTCCCTTTAGTCCTACACGGCAGTCAGTTTAGACTTGTCACCATTTAGCTATTCTTTAGCTATACACAATCAGCACAGATTTGTCCCCTTAATCTGTAAAATGATATTACTTCCCATTCAGCTCATGTCAATTATTCCTCTCTGTCCCTTTGAACACTGTGTACTTGAAAATTACCATTTGCAGTCATGTCTCTGAAGATAATTCTGACCGATTCTATCCCTGTAAGGTGAGTCACTCTGACCTATTCTATCCCTGTAAGGAGAGTCACTCTGACCGATTCTATCCCTGTAAGGTGAGTCACTCTGACCGATTCTATCCCTGTAAGGAGAGTCATTCTCACCGATTCTATCCCTGTAAGGAGAGTCACTCTGACCGATTCTATCCCTGTAAGGAAAGTCACTCTGACCGATTCTATCCCTGTAAGGTAAGTCACTCTGACCGATTCTATCCCTGTAAGGAGAGTCACTCTGACCGATTATATCCCTGTAAGGTGAGTCCCTCTGACCGATTCTATCCCTGTAAGGTAAGTCGCTCTGACCGATTCTATCCCTGTAAGGAGAGTCACTCTGCCCAATTCTATCCCTGTAAGGTGAGTCACTCTGACCGATTCTATCCCTGTAAGGAGAGTCACTCGTAGCGGACAAACTGCTAACAATAAAGCAAATAATACCACAAAAACATTATATAGCATGTACCTCACAACAAGGTCAGAAAATAGGTCAAGTTTTACCTGACTACCTCTTTATTTACCCTACAGTACCTGGTCATTGGACACTAGTTGAGTGAACAGGATAATTTAACTTATGAGAACATGTATCACTTATCAGGGTACTATAATGGTTGTATTTGGGAATGTGACGGTTCATGGCATGATTGAATTTTTCAAAATAAGATAACAATTAATTTAATCGATAAAAACTATGTTCACCTAAACTGCAGAAATGCATTGAAAATGTGCATGCAATTGTAACCCTCTGGGATTTGTTAAGAGAGACAGATTTCTCTGAGTACAGTCCAGAGTTTGTTAAGAGAGACAGATTTCTCTGAGTACAGTCCAGAGTTTGTTAAGAGAGACAGATTTCTCTGAGTAGGGTCCAGAGTTTGTTAAGAGAGACAGATTTCTCTGAGTAGGGTCCAGAGTTTGACATCTATCTCAACTGTACACTACAATCAGCAGAGATTGGTTCCCGTTGAGCTGTACTTTTGCAGTGTGGACTTGTCTCCCATCAGCTGTACCATTGCAGTGTTGACTGGTCTCCCATCAGCTGTACCATTGATGTGTCGACTTGTCTCCCATCCGCTGTACCATTGCAGTGTCAACTTATCTCCCATCAGCTGTACCATTGCAATGTCGACTTGTCTTCCATCAGCTGTAACATTGCAGTACCGACTTGTCTCCCATCCGCTGTACCATTGCAGTGTCAACTTGTCTTCCATCAGCTGTACCATTGCTGTAACGCCTTGTCTCCCATCAGCTGTACCACTGAAGTGTCGACTTGTCTCCCATTAGCTGGACCATTGCTGGGTCGACTTGTCTCCCAACAGCTGTACCATTGCAGTGGCGACTTGTCTCCCATCAGCTGTACCATTGCAATGTCGACTTGTCTTCCATCAGCTGTAACATTGCAGTACCGACTTGTCTCCCATCCGCTGTACCATTGCTGTGGAGGTTATATTCCACATCGTCTCCCATCAGCTGTACCATTGCAATGTCGACTTGTCTTCCATCAGCTGTAACATTGCAGTACCGACTTGTCTCCCATCCGCTGTACCATTGCAGTGTCAACTTATCTCCCATCAGCTGTACCATTGCTGTGGAGGTTATATTCCACATCGTCTCCCATCAGCTGTACCATTGAAGTGTCAACTTGTCTTCCATCAGCTGTACCATTGCGGTACCGACTTGTCTCCCATCAGCTGTACCACTGAAGTGTCGACTTGTCTCCCATTAGCTGTACCATTGCTGTGTCGACTTGTCTCCCATCCGCTGTACCATTGCAGTGTCAACTTTTCTCCCATCAGCTGTACCATTGCCGTATCGACTTTTCTCCCATCAGCTGTACCATTGCAGTGTCGACTTGTCTCCCATCAGCTGTACCATTGCTGTGGAGGTTATATTCCACATCTCAGGATCAAAAGTGGAATATTTTTGGCATTCCACATGGAGATACGCTCTAACATGTAGATGTGGAAAAGAAGATTAAAAAAATTCTAAGGTCAAGGACAAGGTCACTGTTGATAGAAATAGAGGGGAAGCGTTACGGTCCTGGTCTCTTATCAAAAAGTATAACCTTTTTTGAAATTTTACATGGTTATTGAAACACTGTGGTATCTAGATGTGCAGTAGGGATTAAAAAAGCTTCTAAGGTCAAGTTCAAGGTCACTGTTCCTTAAAAAACGTAGAGTGGGGGTTTACAGCCTTATCTTAGAATATGAAAGTGAAACCTTTTTAAAAATTTGACTGTGATACACTGCAATATGTGCAATAGGAGTTTTAAAAGTTTTTATGGTCAAGATCAAGGTTAGGGGAAGGAGAGTGTAACAGTCAGGTCCATTGTGGCGCCATTGCCGACCTGTCAGAGTGCTAGTGAATGTTCAATTTTAATTTTTCTGGAATCCTTAGAATGAAACTTGTGCATCATATTTGCGTCAATTTGATATCAATGTTGGGATAAGCATTCCATCAGCATTCTTGCATTAATTAAATTTTGCGCAATTACAGCTTGCAAATTAAATATTGGGTGGTTGTGTAAATGTTTTTGTGACTATTTTACTCTTTCTGTCATTTCAGGAATTTCAGACAATTTACCAGCAATTCTTTCCCAACGGTGACCCCAGTAAATTTGCTAGTTTTGTCTTCAATGTATTTGATGCCAATAAGGTAAACAATGTTTTTGCTACGTTTTAATACATCTATGTTCTAATACAATTCATTGATTGTATGTGTACACATTGTAATATGTATATGTATATCCTTACAGTCTATATAATGGCCTCTACTATAATGATACCATTAGTCACCATTAATAGGATCAAACTGATGTTATAACTGTTCTGTTTAGGATGGCTACAGTTATATACAGTAAATAGATGAATGTCTGACTGTTCTGTTTAGGATGGCTACAGTTATATATAGTAAATAGATGAATGTCTGACTGTTCTGTTTAGGATGGCTACAGTTATATACAGTAAATAGATGAATGTCTGACTGTTCTGTTTAGGATGGCTACAGTTATATACAGTAAATAGATGAATGTCTGACTGTTCTGTTTAGGATGGCTACAGTTATATACAGTAAATAGATGAATGTCTGACTGTTCTGTTTAGGATGGCTACAGTTATATACAGTAAATAGATGAATGTCTGACTGTTCTGTTTAGGATGGCTACAGTTATATACAGTAAATAGATGAATGTCTGACTGTTCTGTTTAGGATGGCTACAGTTATATACAGTAAATAGATGAATGTCTGACTGTTCTGTTTAGGATGGCTACAGTTATATACAGTAAATAGATGAATGTCTGACTGTTCTGTTTAGGATGGCTACAGTTATATACAGTAAATAGATGAATGTCTGACTGTTCTGTTTAGGATGGCTACAGTTATATACAGTAAATAGATGAATGTCTGACTGTTCTGTTTAGGATGGCTACAGTTATATACAGTAAATAGATGAATGTCTGACTGTTCTGTTTAGGATGGCTACAGTTATATACAGTAAATAGATGAATGTCTGACTGTTCTGTTTAGGATGGCTACAGTTATATACAGTAAATAGATGAATGTCTGACTGTTCTGTTTAGGATGGCTACAGTTATATACAGTAAATAGATGAATGTCTGACTGTTCTGTTTAGGATGGCTACAGTTATATACAGTAAATAGATGAATGTCTGACTGTTCTGTTTAGGATGGCTACAGTTATATACAGTAAATAGATGAATGTCTGACTGTTCTGTTTAGGATGGCTACAGTTATATACAGTAAATAGATGAATGTCTGACTGTTCTGTTTAGGATGGCTACAGTTATATACAGTAAATAGATGAATGTCTGACTGTTCTGTTTAGGATGGCTACAGTTATATACAGTAAATAGATGAATGTCTGACTGTTCTGTTTAGGATGGCTACAGTTATATACAGTAAATAGATGAATGTCTGACTGTTCTGTTTAGGATGGCTACAGTTATATACAGTAAATAGATGAATGTCTGACTGTTCTGTTTAGGATGGCTACAGTTATATACAGTAAATAGATGAATGTCTGACTGTTCTGTTTAGGATGGCTACAGTTATATACAGTAAATAGATGAATGTCTGACTGTTCTGTTTAGGATGGCTACAGTTATATACAGTAAATAGATGAATGTCTGACTGTTCTGTTTAGGATGGCTACAGTTATATACAGTAAATAGATGAATGTCTGACTGTTCTGTTTAGGATGGCTACAGTTATATACAGTAAATAGATGAATGTCTGACTGTTCTGTTTAGGATGGCTACAGTTATATACAGTAAATAGATGAATGTCTGACTGTTCTGTTTAGGATGGCTACAGTTATATACAGTAAATAGATGAATGTCTGACTGTTCTGTTTAGGATGGCTACAGTTATATACAGTAAATAGATGAATGTCTGACTGTTCTGTTTAGGATGGCTACAGTTATATACAGTAAATAGATGAATGTCTGACTGTTCTGTTTAGGATGGCTACAGTTATATACAGTAAATAGATGAATGTCTGACTGTTCTGTTTAGGATGGCTACAGTTATATACAGTAAATAGATGAATGTCTGACTGTTCTGTTTAGGATGGCTACAGTTATATACAGTAAATAGATGAATGTCTGACTGTTCTGTTTAGGATGGCTACAGTTATATACAGTAAATAGATGAATGTCTGACTGTTCTGTTTAGGATGGCTACAGTTATATACAGTAAATAGATGAATGTCTGACTGTTCTGTTTAGGATGGCTACAGTTATATACAGTAAATAGATGAATGTCTGACTGTTCTGTTTAGGATGGCTACAGTTATATACAGTAAATAGATGAATGTCTGACTGTTCTGTTTAGGATGGCTACAGTTATATACAGTAAATAGATGAATGTCTGACTGTTCTGTTTAGGATGGCTACAGTTATATACAGTAAATAGATGAATGTCTGACTGTTCTGTTTAGGATGGCTACAGTTATATACAGTAAATAGATGAATGTCTGACTGTTCTGTTTAGGATGGCTACAGTTATATACAGTAAATAGATGAATGTCTGACTGTTCTGTTTAGGATGGCTACAGTTATATACAGTAAATAGATGAATGTCTGACTGTTCTGTTTAGGATGGCTACAGTTATATACAGTAAATAGATGAATGTCTGACTGTTCTGTTTAGGATGGCTACAGTTATATACAGTAAATAGATGAATGTCTGACTGTTCTGTTTAGGATGGCTACAGTTATATACAGTAAATAGATGAATGTCTGACTGTTCTGTTTAGGATGGCTACAGTTATATACAGTAAATAGATGAATGTCTGACTGTTCTGTTTAGGATGGCTACAGTTATATACAGTAAATAGATGAATGTCTGACTGTTCTGTTTAGGATGGCTACAGTTATATACAGTAAATAGATGAATGTCTGACTGTTCTGTTTAGGATGGCTACAGTTATATACAGTAAATAGATGAATGTCTGACTGTTCTGTTTAGGATGGCTACAGTTATATACAGTAAATAGATGAATGTCTGACTGTTCTGTTTAGGATGGCTACAGTTATATACAGTAAATAGATGAATGTCTGACTGTTCTGTTTAGGATGGCTACAGTTATATACAGTAAATAGATGAATGTCTGACTGTTCTGTTTAGGATGGCTACAGTTATATACAGTAAATAGATGAATGTCTGACTGTTCTGTTTAGGATGGCTACAGTTATATACAGTAAATAGATGAATGTCTGACTGTTCTGTTTAGGATGGCTACAGTTATATACAGTAAATAGATGAATGTCTGACTGTTCTGTTTAGGATGGCTACAGTTATATACAGTAAATAGATGAATGTCTGACTGTTCTGTTTAGGATGGCTACAGTTATATACAGTAAATAGATGAATGTCTGACTGTTCTGTTTAGGATGGCTACAGTTATATACAGTAAATAGATGAATGTCTGACTGTTCTGTTTAGGATGGCTACAGTTATATACAGTAAATAGATGAATGTCTGACTGTTCTGTTTAGGATGGCTACAGTTATATACAGTAAATAGATGAATGTCTGACTGTTCTGTTTAGGATGGCTACAGTTATATACAGTAAATAGATGAATGTCTGACTGTTCTGTTTAGGATGGCTACAGTTATATACAGTAATTAGATGAATGTCTAACTGTTCTGTTTAGGATGGCTACAGTTATATACAGTAAATAGATGACTGTCTGACTGTTCTGTTTAGGATGACTACAGTTATATATAGTAAATAGATGAATGTCTGTCTGTTCTGTTTAGGATGGCTACAGTTATGTACAGTAAATAGATGAATGTCTGACTGTTCTGTTTAGGAGGGATACAGTTATATATAGTAAATAGATGAATGTCTGTCTGTTCTGTTTAGGATGGCTACAGTTATACAGTAAATAGATGAATGTCTGACTGTTATGTTTAGGATGGCTACAGTTATATACATTAAATAGATGAATGTCTGACTTTTCTGTTTAGGATGGCTACAGTTATACAGTAAATAGATGAATGTCTGTCTTTGCTGTGTAGGATGGCTACAGTTATATACAGTAAGTAGATGAATGTCTGACTGTTCTGTTTAGGACGGCTACAGTTATATACAGTAAATAGATAAATGTCTGACTGTTCTGTTTAGGATTTCTACAGTTATATACAGTAAATAGATGAATGTATGACTGTTCTGTTTAGGATGGCTAAAGTTATATACAGTAAGTAGATGAATGTCTGACTGTTCTGTTTAGGAGGGCTACAGTTATATATAGTAAATAGATGAATGTCTGAGTGTTCTGTTTAGGATGGCTACAGTTATACAGTAAATAGATGAATGTCTGTCTTTGCTGTGTAGGATGGCTACAGTTATATACAGTGAGTAGATGAATGTCTGACTGTTCTGTTTAGGAGGGCTACAGTTATATATAGTAAATAGATGAATGTCTGACCGTTCTGATTAGGATGGCTACAGTTATATACAGTAAATAGATAAATGTCTGACTGTTCTGTTTAGGATTTCTACAGTTATATACAGTAAATAGATGAATGTCTAACTGTTCTGTTTAGGATGGCTATAGTTATATACAGTAAATAGATGAATATCTGACTGTTCTGTTTAGGATGGCTACCGTTATATACAGTAATTAGATGAATGGCTAACTGTTCTGTTTAGGATGGCTACAGCTATATATAGTAAATAGATGAATGTCTGTCTGTTCTGTTTAGGATGGCTACAGTATATAGTAAATAGATGAATGTCTGAGTGTTCTGTTTAGGATGGCTACAGTTATGTAGTAAATAGATGAATGTCTGACCGTTCTGATTAGGATGGCTACAGTTATATACAGCAATTAGATGAATGTCTAACTGTTCTGTTTAGGATGGCTATAGTTATATACAGTAAATAGATGAATATCTGACTGTTCTGTTTAGGATGGCTAAAGTTATATACAGTAAGTAGATGAATGTCTGACTGTTCTGTTTAGGACGGCTACAGTTATATACAGTAAATAGATAAATGTCTGACTGTTCTGTTTAGGATTTCTACAGTTATATACAGTAAATAGATGACTGTCTGACTGTTCTGTTTAGGATGACTACAGTTATATATAGTAAATAGATGAATGTCTGACTGTTCTGTTTAGGATGGCTACATCTCCTTCAAGGAGTTTATCTGTGCTTTGTCCATCACCTCCCGAGGATCTCTGGATGAGAAACTTGACTGTAAGTACACAGCCATTATACACACATGTCAATGTTTGATCTCTTCTTATCATGTTTAGTTATGGCTGTCAAAAATGGGGACAAATGTTGAGGAAGCTGAGTTCAGTACAACTGATGCTGTGTTGTGTCTATCTTACATTGATTAACTGAGAAAGGCTATGCTGTTACAGAAATTAATTGAGTATATTCATTAGTAACTCATTAGTTAAACTGTGACCTTCACCCTGACAGGGGCATTCAGCCTATACGACCTTGACAATGATGGCTACATTACCAAGGAGGAGATGATCAACATCGTGGATGCAATCTACAGTATGGTGGGTAACCTTCTAGACCTGCCTAAGGATGAAGACACACCACAGAAACGTGTGGAGAAGATCTTCTCTCAGATGGACACAGTGAGTACTAGGGGATCAGTGTAACGTGTTTCAGTGGTGACGAGAGACATCGGTTGGTGAGATAATTTGTCTGGATTACAGGTCCCTAGTTTGAATTTTGTGCTTGCAATTTGAGAAATAGGTACTTTAACCTTTGTTGTAAATAGTGATGACTTCAGATGCAAATACTTTTAAAAAGGATAGAAGAGTGTAGTTGATTTGGACTAGATTGATTGTTGATTACAAATGATCTAATGTTTTAAGGACTAATTAGGGTTTACACCTAGTGTGACTTCTTTCTATTTTAGCTCACCTAGTGTAATCTTAGGTAGTGGTATGACATCAGCCAATATGTCCATTATCAATTATTTTTTCTTTAAATGACTTCTTATAACTATAATACCTAGGGTCATGCTATTTCACATAAAGTTTGCTGGGATGAAGGACTGATCACTTTGTTGTAATAAATAACGTTGAGCAATAGTCATATTCAATGTCAAAAAGGTTTAAACCTTTAAATAATTTTGAACCATAAAGCCTAGAATGATTAACTATGTCAATAGATTGTGTTAGAGAGGATATTGAAAAAAAAATGTTTGACCCACACTCAAGGTCAAAAGAGGTCAAATGTGTCCATTTCTTCAGTTAAAATCTTATAGTGAACCCATTAAATATGATATTTAGCCTGTTCTGTAGTGCTGGGATGAAGAGCTATACAATAGGTTCATTTAAATGACCTTGACCAACAATAAAGGTCACAGGAATTATGTGTGTCAAAAGGTCCAAAAAACTTCTTTTAAAGAATATGCAGCCTGATGTCATTAGTTTTCTTGGTTTAAGAGCTAAAAGGAATATAGAAATAAATTTTCTGGACCAATATTCGAGGTAACAGTAGGTGAAATGTGTTCAAAACTTCAATATTCCTCTTGTTCCCGTTCTGTTACACAGGAACAAAACATATACCAAACAATGTGTACCCTGTGCTGAGAAAAGCATTAAAAAAATGTATAGCAATTACTGAATTAATGTATCTGTATTATTTCATTATTATGCTCTAAACATGTAAGAAACAAAATAGATTTGTAACAGGACAGCCAAGGAACTCCAATGATCATTTGTGATATTTGTAACAGGACACCCAAGGAACTCCAATGATCATTTGTGATATTTGTAATTGTCAATAGAATCTATAAGGTCAGCATTTTTAGGTCACCTGAGACAAAATCTCAAGTGACCTATTGCAATTGCCTTTTGTCCGTCGTCTTTCGTCGTACGTCGTGCGTCCGTAAACAATTTACATTTTCGTCTTCTTCTCCAAATCCTTTGAACCAATTTCAATGAAATTTTGCAGAAACCTTCCATGGCCAAAGGTCAACAAAAGGAGTTGCCGGTTTGGTCCCCGGCCCCCAGGGGCCTGAGGTGCGGGGCCAAAAAGGGTCAAATTGACTAAAATTTCAAAAATCTTCTTCTCAAGACTCAGATATGGTAGAATCAAATACTCTTCATAGATGGAAGGGTCTTAAGGTGCCTTACCAAAATTTCTTGACCCTGGGGTCTCACGTTTCCCCTTGGAGAGGGGGTAAACTTTACTATAGTTTATATAGGGAAATCACATTTTGTACCAACATTTGTTTAATTGCCATTGGAGGTAATTCAATTTAGGTTAGCATTATCAGTATTGGGTAGCAGTTTGATGGTATGCACATATGAGCCCTGACTGACCCCCCGGGGCTGATGGGAGGGGACAAAAAAGGGTAGAATTGACTGGAATTTCAAAAATCTTCTTCTCAAGACCCAGATATGGTAGAATCAAATACTCTTCATAGATGGAAGGGTCTTAAGGTGCTCTACCAAAATTGGGAATTTCATAACCCTTGGGTATCACGTTTTCCCCTGGGGAGGGGGTAAACTTTACTATAGTTTATATAGGGAAATCACATTTTGGACCAACATTTGTTTAATTTCCATTGGAAGTAATTCAATTTGGGTTAGCATTATCAGT